TAGACAGGGTGTCTGCCTCACGGACTAAAACTGGTAGTTGGTTCCACAGGAGAGGAGCCTGAGAACTAAAAGATCTGCCTCCCATTCTACTTTTAAAAATTCTAGATCAATCAGATCTCTGATATATCAAAACCATAATCTCATGCATTTGTCCTAAACATCTTCTTCCTTCAACACATTTAGCCTCACCTCATTGTTCAGGTATGTTTAATGCAGTATTGCTTCGCCAACAATAGGAGTGGCGTCTTAAAGTGGGTGGAGACCTGGGTGCTTCCTATATGAAAGCAGAACAAATCAACCGATTAAGCAATGCAGCAGATATGAAACAAGGTTTTAAATTAGATGCTTCTCTTCGGTTGCCAAAGAAGTCATGACTAAGTGTAACCAACACAACCCTCGCACAGTGGATCAGCTTTTATTACAAGAAGACTAAGAGAGGTAAGGCTATTGTTTCCAATGGGAGAGCTGGAAGCCTTTGTCTTGGCATTCTGTCTTCTTCTGTAATATCCTTTAAAGTGGTCTGTTGGGAAACATAAGAGTCATCAATCTGCAGAGAAGGAGAGGCTGAGCTGCAGCTCTTCACAAACAAAAAACTAATAAATAGAGGTTCCAAAATAAAACTGTTTAATGAACACAGATCAGATGTTGGTCAGAAGTAATCTGGGAAAATATGTATGATGGAAAATAAGGATGTTTTATGAGTCAACAAAGAGCTTTCGGAGCTTGGTTGCATAAAAAGAAAAAGAAAAAAACAAACTAAATAAATCCGACTTCCAGTAAGAGGGGTGAAGACATTTAGAGAGCTGATTATTTCTCAGCATGTTGGCAGAAACAGGAACATTCTTTGCTTTAACTTCTTTAGCAGATTATTTCATGAATATTTCCCTCTGTTATGTAACGTATCGATCATCGATGCCAACAATCAAAAGCTCCAAAAAGCATGAAGAATTAAAAGCCAGCTTTCATACGGGTGAAATTTAGCTGTTCTAAACTGTTTGAGCTTTAAAAAACATTTTAGAATTAATTTAGTCAAATATTTGGTGATAAGTGAAATCTATTTAATTTGCTCCTAATTCAGTCAAAGTAAAACACGTGGTCGATCAAATGATGTAGACTTTTTACTTTTTTTATTTGAAATGTTTTAGTTGTACACCAACAAACTTTATTTTAAAGTTTAGGAAAAGTAATATAAGTCATGTGTTATGTTATTTCTGTCAAGATTCGTAACTAGGAGCTTTTATAGGAAGAACCTCTGACCTTTCACCTATAAAAAAAAAAAAGCCAAAATATCTCATGATAAACATATACTGCAAAAATGATCTGAAAATAAATCAAAATTTGGTGTATTTATTATTAATTTGAGAAGATAAATAAGATGATTTGCCATTGGAATGAGTATTTGTACCTTTTAATTAGTTAATAAGATAATATACACTTGAAATAAGGCAATGCAATTAGGTTTTTTTCTTATTTTAATGGTAAATTGTCTTGTTCATTACCAAAGTGTGTCACTTACCTCCTCAACTCAAGAAAAATGCACTTTAAGAAAAAGATTTTTATTTTGCTCAGTTTACATTAGCAATTTTATCACTACCTACAGTTCCTTTAGGCCAAACATTATATTAGACCAGGCTAAGTCTTCTCTTTTGTTGAGAGACTCGACTTTTATAAATATTGCCGCTTATTTTAATAATATAAAGGGTAACAAATTAAGGTATATATTAGGGATGCAGGATATTGGGATTTTGGCCGATATCCGATATGCCGATATTTTAAAACTCATGTAGCCAATAACCGATATCGATACCGATGTTAAAGCTGGACGAAAATAAGTAGTCATTGAAAATAGCAGTTTTGTTATCAATTTCTGACACTTTGAAAAATAATATACTCAAATATATTTTCATATGCTGATATCAAATTGATTTTTAAAAACGCGGTATTGATCTATTTTACTTTCAAAATCTCGTGAAATTTCATCGTTCTGTTACAAACTCTCGTGATATTTTGCAAANAAGAGTGCATAATAAATCACTGATTTGTTATCTAGCTAAAAGTGTTTTATACCTTTCGTTTCCATGCAGGACTTGACGTGCACTTCATCCATGTGCGCCCATCACAGAGGGGGGACCAGAGGGTTGTGCCTCTTATGCTTGTTCATGGCTGGCCCGGATCTTTCTATGAATTCTACAAGATTCTTCCACTTCTCACACAGAAAGATGAGAGAGTTACATTTGAGGTTGTAATCCCCTCCATTCCTGGCCATGGCTTCTCAGAAGCCCCTCATAAGAAAGGTGTGTTTATAAATATTGTAAATATTTTGCTCCGTTCATGAATAAGCCAACTTGAGGCACTATAATGTAAAAACAACGACGACAACAACAACAACAAAAAAACATTAATTGAATTCAATTAAATTCAAATTCTGAAATACTTTATTAATCCCAAAAAGAAATTAGACAATATATTCCTATGATAGTAAATTTGAGCATTTCATTAGAAGATAAACTGTAAAATCCTGATTTCAATCTATGAGTTAAAATACAATAATCAAGTGATTAAAGTTGGGTTTGGCCTCCACAGAAAATAATTCAGAGAAGAAATTGTCAGTTTCCGCTTTATTGTAACTAACAGTTTCTGCAGAGCAGAGATTTTAATGCAGTTTTTTTCCAGCCTTGAAGAAAACTTTCCACCCTTTGCAACATTTCAGGTCTAATATGATTGTTTATCTGGAATCTGGTCACAGCATTTTGGACAGGCTGCAGCTTTCAGTAAAGCCATTACAGTAATCTAGCCTCATGAAAATATTTTCAGAAGGTAGGCTGATTTGGTCAAACATATTTAGTTTTAAAAAAAAAAACAGATCTGAGTCAATAACAATATATTGGTCTCCTTCATGTTCTTTACTTTCAGGCGACTCAATGGGTTTAACTTATAATTTACTAAAAAAAAGGCAGCAAGTTTTTCCTTCTTTAACTTGGAGTATATTCTAGTGTGGGGCATGGATGTAATATTTTAGGTGTAACAATAGAAAGGGGACAGTAGAAGGGGATTCCTTGTTAACTGGATCTGTGCCATTTCTCTTAAGGGGGTCATAGAATGCAAAACCGTGTTTCATAGATAAATAATGATAGTTTGGTGGGTAAAATGGACATTCAGAGAAGTTCAAACCCCATCGACACCTCCTTTCTCTGCAAATCTCACAATTCCAAACTTCCACCATAAAACGGGCGAATTCAAACAAAGCCCAGAGTTGTCGTCAATTCAGGGATTTTGCCTTATTTGGTTCTGACCTGTACTTTTGTCACGCCCCGAAGTTGACATACAGACCAGCCCACTGGTTTACGGCCCAAGATCATAAATGGAGGTCGATGTAAGACACCAGTTTAGCTGTTTAGCCTATAGTTGGGTGTACTTCTACAAGAATTGCAAAGCATAGATTCTCTATTGAAAATGAGCCACAACCAGGGGCCTAAATGCAGTATTCCAGGCTGCATGGAGGAAAGGGAACATTTTCACAGTCTTCACAAGGATCTAAAGACTCAACAGACATGGATTATTTTTGTGTATCAGAAGATCCCTGCAAAGTTTGATGCTCAGCTGTTAATTTGCTCTAAGCATTTTACCAAAGACAGATTTCAAAACCTTGGACAGTTCAAGGCAGGATTTGCCAGAGAATTTGACGCCGTTGACCAGGCTACCGTCACAGGGTTCGGTCGCTTCGTCCCCTGCTGGCTCCCTGTTTTTGCTATGTGCTGCATTGTAGTCGACCAAAAAATCCTGGACAGTTTTTAAAAAAGATGACGTCTGGTCATCCTACCATATCAACAATTTGATGTCTTAGTAAGTGAGTGAGTGTTGCTATGATGCGTCTTTGCTCAGCAGCTTCACTCGTTGTAAACCAACCAATCAGCGCACAGCTCATCTAAATATTAATGAGCATTCCATAAAAGGAAGAAAACCCGTTGTTTCATTATAGCTTTTAACCAGGCTTGCATTAGGGCTCATAGAACAGCAAATATGCCGTTTTCAGCCAAACCAATGTCACACAACCTATTCAGAGACCTTAAGGACCAGCACCAAATACACTATAGAATCATTGTATGAGCTCTTTAAATGATGTGGCTGACATCCCTGAAACCTAAAGTTTACGGTAGCTTAAATATAAACTGAAGTATTGGAATCTATCTGTGAGTGGAAGCTATGGGTGCTCTCTGGGCTTTAGTGGATGTTTGTGTGTCGAGTGTAGTTG